TCCTAGCCACGGAACAGGGAAGGGAGGGCAGCGTTCTTGCCAATTTCCCGATTTTCTGATCTCCCGGGAATGGGAGAGGAATGCAACCATTCTCCCCATCGAGAACTTTGCGCGATCAGCCAAGTGAGGTCAGACTTTCCCTTCAGACCTTCCCCATTGAGAAAGAAGTTAGGGGGTAGCCAGGATTAAACCAGAACTGGGGGTCACATGGCACCTCTTAATGTAAAGCAAGAATATTTGTTTTTTTTTATAAAAAAAAAATTAAATAGTTCATCTTTTTCAAAATCTGATTATATGGGATTTGGGCAAAGTTGTCAAACATACTTTTTAAAAAGTAAATGGGAAGGGGGTGATTATGATGCCTGAAAAAGTTGCTGACTCCCCCCCCCCCCCGCTAGAAGATGCATCGTGAATACCTGAACAGAGCAATGGGAAAACATCTTTTGACAAACTTAAAACAAAAATCACAATGAAATGTTACCAACTACTGGAATGGAATTTTGTTTAAAAAATATAACTCTTATCAAACATTATACCGACAACAGGAGTGCCATTCATACACCTGACAGATTGTACTAAACAACGCTCAGCATTTCCCAGAGATGTAAGCAGCACTTCCACCTCGCAACCAGTCCTGGGACCAACTGGATTTTATAGCATCAAACAGGCACGTGAGTGCTAACAAACCTAAATCTTAACTTTATGGGAGACCCTTCTCGGAAGAAGCCGGAGGAAGCTAATCTGGAAACCGGATGCTCTGCTTTGTGTGCCATTCCGACATCAAAAGTTAAATCAACAGCGGGAGAGCAGTTGTGTTTTGATATAGCAGGCCTTGCTCTGAAGCCAAACCCGCATTCTGCACATCAAGGAAGCAGCCAAGGGACTCAGACCATTCTTTAAAGGAAAGGCCGCCTCAAAAATTAAAACTGAATCGTTGTGTTTTTTAAATGCAGGGCCATTAAAATTTAACAAACATCACTGGGTAGCATCCATGCAAAGACTCTGGAAACAAAACACATGTTCATTGACCTCCTTGTACAGGATGATTGGAAGGCAACTAGCGAGCTATTGATAATTGAAAAGGGGACTAAAAATAAAATTGCAAACGTGGTAATGTCTAAACCAGCCTTCCAAAATCTTTTGATTTTAGACTGAGCTCCCATAATCCCTAGCCAGGACAACAAGTGGTTACCCTCTGCCCTATCTCCAGAGTATTATATACAAAGGTGTAAAAATGGGCAATCCATGCCAACAGAGCTTATGAGAAGTGAAAAGTCAGATTCAGACTTGAACTGACTTAATATGGATGCTGTAGAGAATATGGTAGAAGAAGAAGGTACAAACATATCCTCATAATGCAAGATCTCAAGATCACCCAAATGCAATCGATTAAAAACAGATCCAAGCCCCTGGATTGGGTCCTGCTATGAAAAGTGGTTTACAAAGAACCAATGGCTTAAACCTGGGAAGCTCCTCCTTCAGTTGTGTTGGACTACAATTTCCTGCATCAGCCTGGCCATTCAAGCTAAGCACCTCTAGGTTTGCACACCAGGAGTAGCAGTGAGCATTGCTTGTACATTGCAAAATGGAAACGCTGTTACATCCAAGTGCCGGGAGACCTGGGGTGAGGGGGCATCGTTTGAATGAAGAACTTAAAAAAGATGGACCCTTGGTTGGACTTAGAAAAGCTACTGTCAGACTTTTGTGAATGAATGGAACAAACTGTCCAACTTTCTGATCTGTGAAGCCAATTCAGTTCTATGCGTGATCATGACATCCAGTGACTGAGGTTGTATCATTTCAATCCAAACCCATCCAGAACTAAAATAAACTTTCCATCTCTCACAAACCCTGCAGAAAATTGCACCCTTGTGCCCAACATCAAGCCAACAGAGTTTCTTTGACATGCATAGACAATATGGGTTCACTATCAACAGAAAGACTGTATGAGGGGGGGAAAAAAGACAGGCAGATAATGTCATAGGGGCAACACACAAAAAGATTCTAATAACAAGAACAACAACATCTGTGGAAACCATCATGGGTATTTAAAAAAATATGAACGCAGAACACTAGGGTAGAATTGAGGTGATTTGACTGAGGTGAGCTCACCTGTCACATATGCCTACTTGTTTAATCACACGACTGCCTTACTTCTGAATGCTTATGAAATGTATGTCTTGATGGGCATTACAATGTTAGTTTTCTCTCCTAATATTTTAAGCCACCTACGTACAACTAAAAGTAATAACATGGACAGTTGGGGGGGGGGAATCCTCTTAAACCAGTTGAAAGATCTGAAGATCTAAACAGGAGATTAGTATGTGCAAGAGAGGAGAGGCCATCACTGAAATCACCCAAAAAAAAAAAAAAAATCACCTGAAAGAACAGAAAGACATCAAGCAAAGAATAGCCAGGATAACAGGCATCTGCTCCTTACCAAACCCATTTTAGAATCAAGCATGGCCTTGGATGCCTTCCAAATCTCTAGAGGCCAACCGCTGGATATTAGCACAATTTTAAGTTTTGTATCATGCAGTTGAGCCTGACATAATTCAGATGCAGCAAGCAAGTCATCCTTCCACCTGGAGTCTCCAGATGTGCTAATGCACACCCCAAATTCAGGCTGAGAGTCCAGGTTCAACACAACTGGATGACTCCCAAACTGGGGAAAACAATTACAAGCTGTGTGGAAAGGAACGATGACCAGGATCAGTTAAGCCAGGATCCGTCACCTGACAGTTTTCACAACGGCAAAACATCGTTTGGAGGTTCGGGAAAACAACCCAAACTCTCAACCATTTTTCAGCTACAAATGCAAATCATATCTTTGTGTTCCTGCCACGTACTAGCAGCTCTTTCTTTTCTCCAATCCTCCCCTAACTTGGTTTTAAGGAACCCTATTTCACCGATCTGCCAGAGAAATAAAGCTGTACTTCGTGTTTAGGTGGATATGTCACTTGGTTCCAACCTCTCTTTCAGAGTTTGGAGGCACCTGGAGAGCTCCAAAAGGATTAGACCTCCTTCTCCATATCCACATTCTACATGTGATTCGGACCTGTTAACACTCCCCGTTTTTAAACCCTACTTCATCCGGGCAGATAACCTGTTTTGGCACCACCAGATGGTACCCCTGGGGTTTTCACCTGCCTGTTCTTTTTAACTAGACGGACAGCAGCTTTTCATTTTTACTCAAAACCAAGTGAAAACTGCTTTCAATCCACACCACACCACAGAGATAAAAGCATTTGTGAATGTAAAGCAGCAACAACTTTTTTCTCCAAGGGGTCTTTTTTTGTGTGTGTTCAGCAGTGACCTCCTTCTCTAAAACCTGCAGGATGTGTGGTTTGTACAACAAATGAGGTTGCCAGTATTCAACAGTATATTGTCGGCTGCTGAGAAAATGTGAGATGTATATTTTTATATATACACACAAAAAAAAGAGTGAGGTAGATAAAATGTTTGAAAACGAAATAAAAGCTGTCCCGTCATAACTCAGAAAAACAGAACAAAACAAAACCCTTATTTCAGTATTTAAAAAGTATTATGGGGCACTTCTACAGTGATTTAAACTGAGAGCACAAAAAAAATAAATAAAAAGAATCCTACATAGAATACATTTTTTTTCTTTTTCTTTCGCTTTTTTTCTCTCGAAAAAGGGGAAATAGTTATCTACGGGGAAGTGAAAAGATGGTTGGGACTGAAGCTACACAAGCAAAAAAGAAAAAAGCACTACAAACATAACTTTTATCTCCAGTCACAATCTAGCAGTGTATAGTTTAATTCTTTGTTCTTACTCAAAACACAAAACCCCCAGCCAGTATTAAAAGGAGAGGAATCAATATTTCCAACCTAGAATAAACCTTCATCTGCTGCCAGATTTTTATTTTATTTTTGGTTTAATCAGTGCTAACCCAGAATTTCCATGTCGGACTAGAGTTGGATTAAGCCAGCATCAACAACCTCTTGGGTTCTCCTCTTTTTCAACCAACCCGTACAACACCTTAATTCGGTTTCACCTTTATCACCTCTCCAAAACTTCTATCCATCCACTATTTCCTTTTTTTGGGACACAGCAGGGGCCAAAGCCACCCGGATAACCAGAGGAAATTTGAATGACCTTGCAAAATCACCATTGGCAGAGCATGAAATGCATGTTGTTCCTAGGATGGAAGGGTTGATGGCTGGAAAGACAAGTCTGCACTCAACCGTTCACCTACCTAGGATGTACTTCAGGGTGTGTGGTGGTTTGCTTGAAAGGGCCAACAAGAAGGAGAGCGAGGCAATGCCACACTGCTAACAGCAGAACATTTTGCTAAATCAGGGGTCTTCAAACTTGGCCCTTTTATGACCTGTGGACTTCAACTCCCAGAATTTCTCAACCAGCGTTAACGCTGGCTGAGAAATTCTGGGAGTTGAAGTCCACAAGTCATAAAAGGGCCAAGTTTGAAGACCGCTGTGCTAAATCAAGGGTTGGCAACTATGGCAATTTTATGACCTATGGACTTCAACTCCCAGAATTCCTGAGCCGGCCAAGAATGAGAATTCCATGCTGGCTCAGGAATTCTGGGAGTTGAAGTCCACAGGTCATAAAATTGCCATAGCTGCCCACCCTTGCATTAAATAGTTAACTTTCTCTTTTTTCGTGACTTGAGTCTCCATCCTACCTCGCACTGTAACAGACCTGGGCACCGTATGCACCAAGAGTGAGAATGATGGTTTAAGAGGGCAATACATACGGAGCATGAACCTTGATTGGCAACGTACTTTTTCCCCTGTCCATCCCACAAAGTGTGCTTTAGCCCAAACAGACGGTCATAAATATATATATATTTATATATATTTCAAAGCAAAAAAAACAAAAAAAAACCAAAAGGAGAAGACAGAAGAGGAGAGATAGAAAGAAAATAACAAAACCAGGAAAATCTTTCAAAGGTGTTAAACCATCGATGGCAAATTGTGATTCCAGGTACGGCGGTTCGGGAAAAGAAGCGGCAGGATGAAGGTGGAAAGGTCCAACTTTATATAGTAGAAAGCATGAGGGAAGAAATCCATCGGAAATGGAAGGACGGGATGGGGGGGAAAAAAGAGGGTTGACCTGAAGATTTTTTTTCTTTTTCATAGATTAAATCCACAAAGATAAAGAACAAAAAAATAGCAGCTTTTTTTTTTCTGTACAGACATATAGATGAGTATCTGAACTGTAAAAAAGTTATAAAAGTGACACAAAAAGACAAATGTGTATGTAAATGAGCCATGGTCTAACATAGAACTGCAAGACCCCTTGAAGTCTTAATTAACAGAGGGGGGAAAATAGGTCATTGAAGAGTTGAAGGCCTGAATCTGTTTAACTGCCATTCTTCTCCCGTTTTAGTGTTTCTCTTAAGTTTTTCTTTTTTTTCTTTTTTTCATTTAGTTTTTCCCCGCTGCAAGCCTGCCAAAAGACCAGAAGAAACAACTCATGGCAACGCTTCCTGTTTTGTCTGTCTGCATTTCCATTCTGGAGGGCTGTGTTGAATTTCTGCACAAGAAGCATCTCCTTCCTCGCCCTTTTGCGCCGCTCATCAATGCCAGTTGTATCCAGAATGAACGGGGGGGGGGATGTGTGTTGGGCTGTTTGCTAATTCAACCCCATCCCTTAGGTTCTCAACCATGGGTTTTTGTGTGAGTTTTTTTTTTAATTTTTTTTTAAAAAAAAGAGAGAACAGGTTTTTTTTTCGTCCAGTCAAAAAAAAAAAAAAGTAATAATTTTTGTCAAACTTTCCTAAAAATGCCAGTGTACGATAGATAGGGGAGTGTATTGGTCTGTATTTTGTTTCAATGGAGCGTGTGATTGGGAAAAAACAAAAACCAAAAGAAAACAAAACAAGGAAAACCCTAAAAGAAAGTTCTCTTTTTTTTTCTTCTTTTTTTTTTCCTTTTTTTGGCAAAGTTTGGCAGCGCTGGAAAAAAGTATGACCCTTCCGTCTTTCGTGAGATCCTAGAAAGTTTAAGGAATCATAGTTAAGAAAAAAAAAATCCAGTCTTTTTTTTTTTATTATTATTATTCTTTCTGTCTGTCTTTGTAACATCCCACAGTGCCAGGCAGGCGCTCGCAAAGAAAGCCCGAGAATTGGTTGACCTGTCCTTTTCCTTCCGTGCGATTTTAAGAAACAAAAAAAAAAGTGTCAAGTTGAACTTCACACGGACATGTTTCCCATTTATGAAGCAGAAAGAAAGGAGAGGAAAGGGAGACACACATCAGATTCTCAAGTTTGTTTGTTTCGTTGTTTTTTTCTGTTGCTATTAAGTGTTAATATTAAAAGTTTTAGAAGGCTGACTGTGCCCCGCGCGTACAGAGTTCTGTTGCTCGGAACAATCTCCTGCTTGCATATTGAAACAAAAAACCAAAAATAAAAATAAAAAAAAAGGAAAAATAAAAGTTATTTCGACTTCTAATCGAAGAGAGGATTCTCCTGTGTGCAGTTATGACAGTTCTTGAAGATCCACTGAGGTACAGTCGGCTTTTGAATATATTGTTATTTTCTCGCTTGGTTGGCTTGCTCTCGCGTTCCCTCCCAGCTCAACCCCTTATTTCTGCATTTGCAAAAAAAAAACAAAAACCCAAAAAAAACACCTGTTTCTCAAGGTCAGCAGGCTGAAGACTGGGGTAAAGGCAAGGCCCGTTCGTTCTTGCGTCCCCCGTTCATGTGAGCGTAGGACTGCCTCTCCTCAAAGCTGGCCCGCAGGACCACCACGCCTGGGCCGTTCTCGGCTTTGTGTCCTGAGTGTTTATCCGAAGGCTGGAGGGCCGAGGAAGGATCTAAAGGAATGCTCTCCATGTTCTCCGTCTCCAAATCTAGTTCTTCCGTGTCGGGAGGCTTGTTCTCGTCGCTGTAAAAGAAGGAGACCTCTTTGAAGGCCGGGTCCAGCTCATCCTTGATGCTGCCAATGATCTCCAGGAAAGAAGGTCTCATCTTGGGGTTATACTGCCAGCACATGCGCATCAGTTCGAAGCTGGAAAGAGAAGACAGCAGACACGGTTGTGTTGGAGGAGGACTTGGGTTTAGCTCCAGACCAGCAACAAACATTTGGTTCCCTGACACTTAGGAGGCCTTTGAGGAGACGGCATGCAAATAGGGTGCAGCGTCGCTTTGGGCGGGAAACCCTAAGACCCTGATTTACATCGTTTAAGACAAAAAGGGACTGTTAAAAGTTGACTCCCCATTCCTAAGTAGCTTTGGTTGGTCTGGAACCCCATGGCGGTTGAGAGTTAGGTACTCAAATGCATCTGAGTCAGGAAGGATGTCAAGCCCTTGCTACCTTCAAACGCCGTAGATCAACTCAAAATGATCCGGATACCAGAAGCAGGACTGCTCTAATTCAAGAAACTGAATACCTATAGATAGTCCTCAACTTGTAACTATTCGTTTAGTGACCGTTCGAAGTTACGACAAACACTGAAAAAGGAGACTTACGACCATTTTTCCATAACTTACAACCGCTGCAGTATCCCCATGGTCACGTGTGGTCAAAATGTGGCCATTTGGCAATCGACTCATATGTACGACAGTTACACTGAACCTTTTGTGAGCTACCTTGCTGTGAGGCTACTCTAGGGGGCTTACAACAATAAAAAGGATGAAAAATGAAAGGAGCGTAAACAGAAGTAAAATAATAAAGCAAAGTAGGTAGTCCTTGACATACCACCACAATGGAGCCCAAAAGTTGTTAAAGTGAATTTTGCCCCCATTTTGTGACATTTCTTGCCCCGGTTGTTAAGTGAACCTCTGCAACTGTTAAGTTAGTAACACGGTTGCTAAGTAAACCTGGCTTCCCCATTTACTTTGTTTGTTAGAAGGTTGCAAAAGGGGTTCACAAGACCCTGGGACACTGCAATTGTCCTAAACACGAGTCAGTTGCCAAGCATCTGAATTTTGATCACGTGACCCTGGGGATGCTGCAATGGTTGTAAATGTGAAAAACGGTCCTAGGTAGAGGGAGGAAGGAGGAGTGGTGGTAGGTTGAGAGGAGGAAGGTGTGGTAAGTGGAAGAGGGCGGTGCAGGAGGGGGACACCGGACACGTCCGTGAATGTATTGATTAGTGTTATTTTTTTTGGTTGATATTGTGATAAAAGATTTATGTTTGTGTTTTTATATGAAAAATTAATAAAAATTTATTAAAAAAAAACAACACGGTCCTAGGTCACTTTTTCCAGTGCTGTTGTTAACTTTGAACGGCCACTAAATGAACTGTTGTAAGTCGAGGACTATCTGCAAAATAAACGACGACAAAGGAATTAGCAATACCCATTCCCCAATTTTTGCTTTAATGCTGCCTTCCGTCTTAAACGCGAAACAAGGTTCCAGAGATGTTGGTTTTTTTTATTTTCATCTTCCGCCTTTATTTGCAAACAGCCAGCCTGGCTCAACCCAGCAAGAAACCGGCCGTCGGTCTAACCAAGATCCATTTCGGTGACTTCACACCCGTCGTTTCCCCAGCTGCCTCTTTGTCTCTGTCTGAAAACACCAGCTGGGACCAAGGACAGGGATAGCAACTCTTTGCCCAGCTGCCTGAAGGGAACTGCTGAGGAGATACCACAAAGAGGCTAGCGGGACACATGTGCCAGCAAGCACATGTGACACTTCCTTTGAGGCCATTCCACCAGCTTCCCATAAATGGAAGTTTCCTTCAGCCGGTGGGTTAGCGGGCCTTGTTGACGCGGCCTTGGAAACGGAATGCTCTTCCAGAAATGGGAGGAAGAGAGAGAGAGTTTGCAAACCTGCCCCGGATCACGAGGGAGGAATGAAAAGGCTTTCCTAATGGCACCTCCCTTTTGCCTGCAATGACGTTTGCAACCAGGAGGAACATCTCAGCTGCTGCTGTTGCCCTTTGATTTCCGGCCAAAGGGGGTGGGGGGCTGCCAACCTCTCTCGGTCCTGCGGGAATCCATGGCCCCTTCTTCAGCCCCAACAACTCTTGGGTTGGGGAATTGTGCCACGGGAGGAGAAGGTGCACCCCTGGGGTCTCGTTCTTGGGAATTTTTCTTTTCTGAAGTACACAGGGAGTCCTCGACTTACAACATTCAGTGAGTGACCGTCTGAGGTTCCAACAGCACTGAAAAAAGTGACATGACCATTTCTCACACGCTTTGCTTGCTTGTGCGGCCCCGGTTGCTGGCATGCCATGGCCCGGTACTGGTCCAGGGACCAGGCGTTGGGGACCCCTGCTCTAGACTAGCCATGTCCAATTCACTTAACCACCCATTACTAACTTAACTGCAGTGATTCACTTAACAACTGTGGGAAGAGAGGTGGTAAAAATGGGGCAAATCTCACAACAACTGTCTCGCTTAGCAACAGAAATCTGGGGCTCAGTTGTGGTCGTAAGTCGAGGGCTGCCTGCAGGCAATGGCTGCCTGGCAGCTGAATTCCATCATCCCTGGAGGAGCCAGGTTAGGAAAAGAGCTTCAAGGGCTATTGACTGGGGCAGAAATGGGGTGGACTGGAGCATCTGCTTTAATCAATAGCTTTCTAAAAGGGGGGGCTGGAAGACTTGAGCAGCCATTGAGAGTAATGTGATCAGCTTAGAGGGGGGAGAAAACATGTCTTCAACCAAGAAATTATGTCAATTTATACCTATTAGCAGCTCCCCTTTAAACGGCAGTTAAATGCTAACCTCAAAAAAAATCTCCCCAACCTTAATTACCAGGCCTTATACATCATTTTCACCCTCAATTGCTGGATGGGGAAAGAGGGGAGGTCTTGATTTATTAATAACATTCTTGCCCGTGAAAATTAAGACTGGGTCATCTTTTTTCTGCTTTGCAAAGCCCCCCCCCCCCCGTCCCCCCTGGCTGGCCTGGTTAAATAATTTCCTCCTGCTGTGTTTAGCAGAATTTCAAAGCTTGCTGGAGATTTCCCATTCTGGAAAAAAAAAAAAATAAGGTGGAGAATTCAGTTCCTTAGCAACAGCCGACAGCCGCCTCTCCTTTGCCCAACTCCAGCTAGCAAGCTAGCAAAACAAGGCTGAACTGTCACCTGATACCAGTCTAAGCCCTCTGGCTAAATAAGCTCTTTTCCTGAGAATCTCAAACAGCTGAGGCCCCTTAAGCAGTTGCATCCCTCATGCAGGCCTCCAACAAAAAGGAAAAAAGAAAGAAAAAAAGGCAAGCAAAATAAGTGTTTTTCCTTCCAGAAAGCCACCATTCACAGGATGCTCTGTTATTTGCTAACTCCAAGCCCAGCCCAACACAACTGGGTTGCAAAGAATCGTAAAGCTTTGAAAAACATGTCAGGTGGACAGCCCGTTGACTCTCTAAAAAAAGGACGAGACTCCCCAGTTGAATTCAAAAGATCACATCCTGGTTTGATGGGGGGGGGGAACCTTTAATAAGGAGCTGCTTCTTTTCTTTACAACCTGGAAATTTCCAGTGGAGGGTTTAAGCCAAGATCGTCATAGGTTAAGATCCCTATCTGGTTTCAAAAAATGCGAGTGAGAGTTCCAAATTTTACAGGCAAGGGAAAATTGGTCAGGAAGGACGAGACGAGGGAGAGGCGATCTTTTCTGATCCCTCAAATCGGTGGTCTCAACCTTTTCTGGCTTGGCGGGGAGGGGGGGAAGGGGATGGTTCTGTGTGAGCAGTGAGCGCCCACACGCAGCTCCATTTGGCGCAATAGCAATAGCAATAGCACTTAGACTTATATACCACTTTGTAGTGCTTTATAGTCCTCCCTAAGGAGTTTACAGAGTCAGCCTCTTGCCCCCAACAATCTGGGTCCTCATTTTACCGACCTCAGAAGGATGGAAGGCTGAGTCAACCTTGAGCCGGTCAGGATCGAACTGCCAAACTGTCGGCAGCCGGCAGTCAGAGAAGTAGCCTTTGTTGTTACTTGACCAACCGCCTCTCCTGTGCTGTTTTCCCCACCAGGCCTTCCAGCCAATTGGCAGGGCCATGTCTTTAGGCCCTTATGAAAAGATAGGAGAGTTTGGACCGACCTCACATCGGGGGGGGGGGGGGGGAGAGATATTCCAGAGGGCAGGAGCCACAGCAGAGAAGGCCCTTGTCCTGGACCCTGCCAGCCGGAATAATCAGGCTGATGGGACCCGCAGCAGGCCTTCTCTGCAGGCACAGGCGGGACAGGCCAGCCCCAAAGCAGGTGAAGAGAACAAGGCAGGCCAGGATGGGAAAGGTCTGGATATACGTACAGCATGTCTGGGCAGTTGTCTGGCTTCTCCAGGAGGCCTCCCTCCATCACAAAGCGTAAAACTTGTTCATTGGACATGCCTTGGTAAGGCTGCTCTGCTAAGGTGGCGATTTCCCATAACACAACGCCGAAAGACCTACAAGGAAAAGGTTAAGAAACGTTAGAGCCAGCGGAGGTTTTCTCTGGAGGAACTCAAAAGTGAAAAAGTGTAGAGATGTAGGAGAAGGCCTGGCTGAACCTGGGGGAGGAGTGAAAAGAGGCATCAGCCTAGCATCCCTACCTAGCCACAAGCAAACTAAGTCCAACCCCTTTTGAGTGCTTTGTCCCTTGTCTAACCAGGTGCTTGACCGTTAGTTGAGAAGATTAACTGAACCTTCTCATGTGGACCTGGTCTTATCCACCTGGTCAGAACTCACAGAAACTTGGGTATTGAGGAAAGGCGCATGTGCAACGGGCACATGACTCCTGTGATGACTTCACACAAATGTAACTTGTGTATCTACGTCACAACAACTCTGTCACTTGCATATGCTATGGATCTGTTGACATTGTGGCACGCTCACGGTATGTTACAGGCACATGAACTTTGCCATAGAAAAAGTGCAGTGTTGTGTAACCAACTGGGGCAATAACACTGCAATAGAAGTATAAATTACTTTTGAGTAACACTGGCTAAAAAGATAGGCACAAATTGAATCAATAACAATAACCATTCCTCTTTTTATGCACTCTAAAAAAAAACCCACAGGGCCTGATCTGGTGAAATTTAATTTGGAGTCAATTGTACAAACTACACTTTGGATAAAGTAATAAATTGATTTGTTGCAAACAGACTGGAAGCTTTTACCTCCACGTCTTTGTGAGGCTGCCACTCTGAATCCGAATCAATTGTAAATATTTTAACTCAACTAATGTAATCCCCAAATTCGGCTTTGAATGGGACACTTAAATATGCTTTAAGAATAATTCAGTTGATTTTTATTTTATTTATTGAATGCCTGGTCAGAGGCTGCAAGAAAAACCCAGACATAATATAAACCAGGAAGCAAGGTGCAGAAGACAGAAACAGGGTCCCAGTTCGAGATAACTAACCATCTAAACTTGATATGGAGAACTCAACTATTTTACTCTAAACATCATTCCAACACAGCCTCTTCTGGTGGGAACTGAATGGAAGTTAGCAACTTTTGATGCAAATCCAGCAGGAGAAAGCCCACTGCCCTTTGATCTAATTAACCCCCCCCTAAAATTTTATTATACTGGGATTGTATGAAAGAAGACGTTTAAAATACCGATATTCCTTGCAACATTAACTGCAGGGGGGGCTATTTTTGCTGCATGTATGAGTTCTCCCCAAGTCCTGACATGTTGGAATCAATCCTGGAACTCCTGATAATAACTAGAATGTCATTTACTCTGGGATCTGGGATCATCCACAACCTTACTTCTGCCTTGTTTATTTTTATTCTGTCAGTGGAATCTAAAATAAAAACTAGGCAGCTCAGCTCCAAAGTTAGCTTTTTCCAGAAAGCTAGACTACGGCTTTCCCCATCTCAAGAATTTTGCAATGGGCAGCCAAATTCTGCAGCGGGTTTCCCAAAATATACAAATCTATGTAAAGGCCCGGCCTGCCAAGCTTGGCGATCTAGCGTGCTTTGCTGGGCTGTGGGAAAAGAATAACACCAGTTTGTAACTCTTACAATAACACCAGTTTGTAACTCTTACAACTTGAAAAACAATAACACCAGTTTGTAACTCTTACAACTTGAAAGCTATTAGACTGAAAAATCCAACCTCAAGTGGATTCCACTACGGCTAATCCCAGACTTACAAATTTTAGCGACCGTTCGAAGTTACAATGGCAATGGAAGAACTGACTTACGACCGATTTTCACGCTTACGACCACTGCAGCATCCTCATGGTCCCATGATCAAAATTCAGGTGCTTGGCAACTGATCCATATTTATTGCGGTCGCCATGTCCCAGGGGTCACTAAGATCCCCTTTTGCAACCTTCTGACAAGCAAAATCAATGGGGAAGCCAGATTCACTTAACAACCGTGTTGCTAACTTAACAACTGCAGTGATTCATTTAACAACTGTGGCAAGAAAGATCGTAAAATGGGGGGAAACTCACTTAACAACAGAATTTTGGGGCTCAATTGTGGTCATAAGTTGAGGACTATCTGTATATGGTTGCTTCTTGTTACTTCTATTATAAGGACCAGTAAGAAGCCCTGCATAATTAGAGAAATGGGCCAGTTTTAAAACCGAACTTTTGGGGGGGGCTACACACGACGAAAGCTTCCCTAAGAAAGTAGAACACACACACCCCGAGATGCCTATCTAAACCAGGGCTCTTCATACTTGCCAACTTTAAGACTTGTGGACTTCAACTCCCAGAATGCCCCAGCCAGAATTACTGGGAGTTAAAATCCACAGGTTTTAAAGTTGTCAAGTTTGGAAACCCCTGATCAAAATCCAAGAAGGTGTGAAAAAAAACCAAGTTTTGGGGACCGGCAAAGAGCAATCAAAGAGTGCTTTTATAAATGGTTTTCTTTATTACCAAACATCCGAGTGGGTTGTGAACACGCCGTCCTTCAGCGATTCTGGGGACATCCAGCGGACCGGCAATAGTCCCTTTCCACCTTTCCGGTAGTAATCAGTCTCATAGATATCTCTCGTCATGCCAAAATCTACACAGTACACAACAGACAGGTGCTCAGCAAATTGCAGTTCAAGCAGAAATCACAGTAACAGCAAAACAGAGTTTAGCCAGCAGACTTTGGCTGTGTAGCTCTATTACCACAAACTTTCATTTCTATTTTATAGCACCCCTGGGATGTACTAAAATATCTCATTTTATCTGTAATCATACAGATTGACAGGGAAATGTGATGGCCACTACATTTCCTATCAATCTCAGCTTCGTTTATTTATTATTTTAAAGATATTGAGGTTTGTTTTTTTTTAAAAGCATGCTGGGCTACAAAACCAAAGGAAGTCCTCGGTGCTCTCTGAGTTTGCAGACCTTTCATGACCTGTCTAGGTAACATCATCAGTGTGAGGAAGGATAGGGTTTGCTTCCTGTTTATATACAGTAGCTTGCCCCAGGAGTGTTGGAGGGAGTGTGATTTTTCTCTTTGGTAATTCCTTGATTTGGCTATTGTTATCTGCTTGGTTGTTTGTCTGGTGTTAATCCCTGCATATCTGGGAGTTAGTTGCTGGGAAAGATGTATTCTGGTCTTTTTGTTTCCAAAATCAAGTATCAGTCTCTACTGTCTCCTTTATTACGTCCTCCTTCCGTTATGTATTCAAGATGGACAGCGATTCATATTTACATGTTACTTATATGTAAGGGTGTAGGTCTATACATAGCTTGTATATAGTATGTTTTAAATGTGTGTTATGTATGTGTACACTTTGAGAGGAAGCAACTACATTTCATTTTTTTAATGTGTGCCATTGTGCCCACAGGGAAAAAAATGACAATAAAGGTTATCTAATCTAATCTAATCTAATCTAATCTAATCTAATCTAATCTAATCTATTACAATAATCCCTCTTGGTCTCCTATGGTGTCAGCCCTTCAAGGGGACAAAACGGGCTTTTAAACGTCTACTGGAAGTCTACTTTTGTCGTCCCCTGAGCTACTGCAAGGGAAATATTGTAATGTCCCTTTAACTTGCTCCCTCTGCCCATGTAATATGGAGTTGAAACTCTCACACTGCATCTAAGACGGGGTTTCTGTAACTCCTCTTGTGTTCTCCTTTTCAAGGTTACATCCTTCCAATTTTTAATAATTTTTAAAGATTTTAATAATGACACAGCCATTAATATATTTGCTTTTAATTGGTTTTATAGGGGAAATGTTTTTTGTGTTGTTTTTTAACATGCTGTGAGCCGCCCTGAGTCCCCCTGGGGAGAAGGGCGGCATAGAAGTTTAAATATAAATAAATAAATAAATAAATAAATAAATAAACTCTCCCTTTCCCCTCAGCATGGCTGGCTCAGGAATTCTGGGAGTTGAAGTCCACGAGTCATAAAAGAGCCACGGTTGCCTACCCCTGCCCTAGACCATTTCAGACAAGTGGTTGCCCAATGATGAGGCCTATCAAGAACTCATGATTTTACCCCACCCCACCCCAAACTTGGAAATGTTTGCCTTGCCCATTTCTGGCACCTGGAAGTTTCACCAAGTCTTGCCTGTACATTTTCAGCCTGCTGTGTCTACAACGACACTAAATGGTTCCTTTTTTCAGTAGTAACGAAGTCCTACCTCCGATTTTCACAGTAAAATCCTCTGCCACCATGCAGTTCCTGGCAGCCAGATCTCTGTGGACAAACTTGTTGGCGTTGAGATAGGCCATGCCATCTGCAATCTCCCCAGCCATCTGAATCATCTTCTTTAAAGGCGGAGGACTCTGAACGGGGTTGTTCTAAGATGAAATGGAGACGGTCACCAAGTCATTAAAGGAAGTTTAGCCTTTCTTTCCTTATTCCAACCTCAAGACTTGGCTCGTTTTTTCAATGTCACGGCTGGCCATTTGCTTCATTGGCCCAACGGGACCAACTGCTCTCCCTTGAAGTGTGTGCCAAAATGTCCACGTTCTCTCACACCCAACAAAAGGGAGGAAGGACAATGGGAAAAAGTACAACGGGAGAGGAAGGAAATAAACAGAAAAGATCCTAGTCATCCACTCTTTCTCCACTCAGCCCCCCCCCTCCCAAGGTTGTTTCCACAATCATGTTTTGAGAAGCCAAGTTATTTCTGTATCTCATCTCAAGGAACAGTGTTTGGTTTACAGTCACACTTTCATCTTCACAAACACACCAGATGCTTCCACTATCTCCACATGAATTATTTACAACAGAAGCCATCCACAAAGGCGGGAAGGGCCGGGAAGAAGGGAAGAAGAACTCAACCAGCTCTGCCAGCCCTAATTTCGCTTTTATTTGGGTTCTTGAGGACTCTCCTCCCTCCCCCCTTTCTCCTGCCTAACTTGGAACTTGTGAGAACACACACAAGGGTGGCTACTGATCTTCCGTTGCCAGCGTTGAGTATTAAATGTCAACCGCATGACTAAATATTAGTGTTTGTTGCAAAAACTCATTCATAATTCAAGGCGAGAGCAAAAGGGAACGGCGGCTGTGTACTGAGAGTCATGAGCAATTAGCAGGACTGTTTTACACTAAACAATCATCCTGGCTTAGTCAAGAGTCAAGAGTAAAGGGCGAAACATTTCAAACGGAGGCCCAACAGCCATGCCAGCTGATTTAGCAGCAGGGACAAAGGAAGGCGTGTGCAGCTATTTACAGTTAGGTGGGCAAAATGGCTAGAGGATTGTTGTTTTATTATTTATAAAAACAGGGATGGAAAAAGCTCCTGTGAATGAAGGGAATGCTTCTTGCTGTTCGGATATTGAGCATCACTGCACAAGAAATAGTTTCAAATTTAGCAGAAATGGCTAAGATTTCAGCCTATGTGAAGGATTATTCACAAGAAAGATATATACTGGTTTGGAGAAGATGGATAGATTATATAGAAAAGAAATATGGAACTAAAAAGTTTCATTTGGTTTTTGAGTAATTTGTGATTGTCAATGTAGTATATTTTATTAAAAGTAAATAATTTGTAATAATGATGTTTAATATGTCAGTTTAGAAGAGAGCTAAAGGATGTTATAGAATTGTTAATTTAAGGATAATATAATTTAAGACAGAATATAATTATTGTATTGTAAACCCTGTGTGTAGCTCTGGGAAGTCGGGGGGGGGG